GACAGAGAGCATGAGAGGCAGGAGGGTCAGAGGGAGAAGCAGACTCCCTGCCGAGCAGGGAGCCCGATGCGGGACTCGATCCCAGGACTCCAGGACCATGACCTGAGCCGAAGGCAGTCGCTTAACCAACTGAGCCACCCAGGCGCCTTCATTTCATGATTATTATTGAAAATAATTTTGTCATATGAAAGAAAAAGGTTGTCAAAAATAATTATTGTTTGAGTTCATTATGTAATTGTTACTGGTATGTTACTGGTAAATAGTCTGCAGTTTCTCTTAAATAAAACAAATACCGTCTCTAAAATAGAACAGTAAAACAAATATCCACAGAAACCAATGAACCACTTGTGGCTCATTCTTTTAATTAACTTTCTAATACTATACTCAATACTATACTATAATAACTCAAATACTATACTCATAAACCACAAATCTGAAAAAATGAAATACAAAAACTTTTATTCATAAAATATTTTTTAAATGTAGAACTGAGAGGGTCTTTTACATTGATGTGGGTTTTTTTCAACACTGATACAGTAGAAATGTCTACTGACCATTTTGGTAGAAATCAATTTTTCTTTTGTTACTTACCTATTTAGAAGCAGATGTCCAAATTGCTTCCTGATTTTATACAGTAAAAGAACATAACAGAATAGATTTGTTAAAAACAGAATTCCTAATGGCATATGGAGGCACTGTTTTTTCTCCTTCTCACAGCAACTAAGATTAATGAACAAAGAACCAGTGACTGACATAAAACCTACCCATGGGGGTGCCAACGCCATAACCTTTGGAGTCTATAAGGCCGCCAATCTGTGTCAGGTTACAATTCCGCTGGGTAACAAACTCAATGGTTGTTGACTCCATTAGGAAAGCATAATCAGAGGTGAGGACTCTCTGGATTCCTTCTTCATTATTTTTGACGAGTACTGACTGCCTCCTGCTACTCATAAAGGCCCACATTTTGTCATACGTAGATATTTTTGATTTCTAGGAAAAAATAAAATAAGTAAGAAAGATATTCCTTAGTTTCCATGTGATCCTACAATATTTAGATGGAACTGACTGTATTTCATGGACTCATACTACCTTATAATTGTCTTATTAATAATAGTAATATCTACACAAAGAAATTAAAATCTGTATAAAAAAGTTTCTCGTAGCAATTCCATATCTCATATTTCCAGGTATAACACTGAGTTATTTAACAAACATATAAAAAATAACTTAAAGTTCAAAAATGCATAGCTAGTAAATCATAGAAGGCAATAATTAAAAATAACAAGATTAATAGGAGGAACTTTTGTGCTTGTATCTCACATGAGTATCTCATGTATATAATTGTATCTTTCACCATAACTATAAAATCAAATTTGGAAGACACAGACACTGGACACCAAATGACACTGCAAAACTTTGAGTTTTTGTTTGTTTTTGTTTTTCCCAGTATGGTTGACTATAAGACTGATGTCACATTATCCTCCAAGTATGCACAAAGATATAGGCTGAACAAAAAAAGCAATTTGTAACAAATAAAAATTTCCACTGGGGCACAATCTGGACACCACAGAACCTCTTTTAGCCTGACTCAGGACAACAGGACATCTACCCTTCAGATCTACTAACTAAATATTCCTGGACCAATAAAATTGAATAGTTTTTATGTCTACCTGAAAATTCTCAATAAGGCTTCACTAGGAATTCATTAGTGAAGGAAAGAAATGGGTTTTGTTCAGAAGGCACGGGTAAAAACATAACCATGGACAAGGTTAGCATCTGCTTATGAAAAGTTCATCTGTAAACGCTTACCCTAGTTAAATCCTTATACAAATACAAAAAATAATACTGAAGCTATAAACACAAAGAGGATATTCACTATATTGGTTTCACTGGCATAAAAACTTAAAACTGTTTTCAAATAAATAGATATGCAATCTTGCTACAGTTTAAGCATGTATTTAGGTCCTACATGTGCCAGGTCATAAATGAGATATTACCACTCCTTCCACTAAAATAAAGGTGCACGATAATATTTAGAAAAATTCAGACACTATTTCAATGATGATAGAAGAAAAACCTTACATTTACTGGGGGCAGGGGGGGGACCTAAATGTACAATGAGTGTTTTCTAAAAACAAGTATAGCATTAGGGCTAAGAGAGGGTTCAAATGCAAACCTTTGCTCTCCAGTGAAACACTAAAGCATGCTAAAAGGCCAGCAGCTCAAAGTTTAAAAGATAGCAGCTAGAACATCTAGAATAAGATTGATAGGATTACAAATGTGAGAAGCTATGGCGGCATTTCAATTATTTTAAAGTAAAATAAGTATATGTTGGAAATAGGAAAGAAAAATGAAAGGAATATTTAAGGTTATGATGAAATCCTTATTGGAATAGTTAAGACCAATAGTGAGATTTTGCATAGATTCATTTGACTTTCCAAGTCAGTAACATACGAGGATAGCCAGAATAAATTCACTTCCTTTCAAAGGTAAAGAACTTATCTCCTAAGACTTTGCATTAAGAGAGACCTAAATACAAAATAAAATCAAAATTAAAGCTCACCTGCAGATTAAGGAGCTTTTATATTTAAAAAAATAAATTGGACAGTTTTTGATTTAGTAAATCTGTGGCTGATAATAGATAGATACACAGTCCCATAAATAATAATTCTAAAAATGTATGTCTTCAAAACTGCACTCTCTTTCAGTTGGCAATTTAAAAGGTAACTCTTTAAAGGAGAGGGCTAGTGTAATATCATAATATGGGCATACTCTCCGAGGCCAAAACCAAGCAGAGAGATAAGAAAGTGTACAAAAAGTTATTTTTACTTGTATTGGCCATAAATTGCCTAAATTCTCTTTTTTGTTTCAGTTATGAGAACATTAACAATCGATGTTTTATTGCTTTAGTTACATGATTCCCAATTTCTGATAACACATTCCATTCATTGATAAAAGATAATTTAAGGGCGCCTGGGTGGCTCAGTTGGTTAAGCAACTGCCTTCAGTTCAGGTCATGATCCCGGAGTCCCGGGATCGAGTCCCGCATCGGGCTCCCTGCTCGGCGGGGAGTCTGCTTCTCCCTCTGACCCTCCCCCCTCTCATGCTTTCTCTCTCTCTCAA